TATTAGTTAGATACTAGCTGTCACACTACATATTAACCTGAATATTGTCGCAATTATTATTACTATAGGGACATACATCCTTCCAGTAGGCCCACAGTATCCATTCAACAGATACACTACTACCAGTTGAATTAGATAAGTAATCATTGACTTGATTACACAATGAAAGATTAGTTGTTGGAGTTATAACAGCATAACGTACTTCACCTCTCCCACCATTCAAGTCATTATCATTCCAATATGGAGCAATGATCGGAATAGAAATAGGAAAGAGATGTGGTGGAGAAATTCCAGTATAACTTCTTCCCAAGCTAATCAATCCATTAGTACTTATCTGTAATAAATACACAATTATACATAGAGTATCATATTATACTTACCCATGCATCTGTATAGCATGATAATCCAAACTGCAATGGTGAAGGTAAGGACACATTAGTAGCATAATCATCTTTATTCCTGATTGTTGAATAGTCAGTAGGGTTTAGGAAAGGAAGGTAGTTGCCCTCAGAGCTAACAAGCAGGCCATTGAAGTAGATAAATATCACAAACACTATCATCATCTTTTGGTGTACAATATGAATTAGATCACCTTATATGCACTAGTTTTATATCCTGTGCATTGTTGTTAGGCTGTGTATTAGTTTGTTTATTTATTTTCATAACAACCTCATATCGTTTTAGAAAAAATTTAAATAGTTAGATTTTTTTGCAAGTAATTTTTATTTGAAGATTTTTGTTCTCTACTTGGATTAAGACTGATTATTTAATCATTGATATAATTTATATGTACTTTGTGTGCCTGCATGCCTTGTGATTGTGAAGACTAGTTGATTTGCTAAAATTTATTAAAAGTGTTTTCTATTGAATAATGTCTTGTGAATATCATAGTGTTAATGTTTAGCACAAGATACTTTCACTATCTAGATTTGTTTGCCATGTACTGATTCTTTGATTATTACAAGTTAAATTGTGATATCTACACTTGTAACGTATATGTACTGTATGTAGATATAGCACCTACTTTTTTATTTTAGGAATTTATACAGTGAGGGTTCACTGTGTCCTGATATTAAATTGTTGCTCATTAGATAGTATTTATTAAATAGTATTTATATAGTATTTATATTAAATAGGCATTAAATAGTATTTATAGGGAGTCTTTCTCATTAGAATTTGTCTCATTAGCATATTAAAAGCTGATTACTGGCAGCCTGTTTAGTTTGTATGTGCACTATCAGATTTTTATATATTTATCAATATTGTTGGAAATTCACACACTCATAAACTTAAGTATTATTGTACACAGCAGTAAAAAGAATCTACTGTTACCAGAGTATTTTTGTGCAAACTGCAAACCAGTATAATCAAGAGCACGCTAGCATTATGTACTCTTGGTATAATGTATACTTATCATGTGTTAGTGCTGATTTAATTATCTTGAAACAAGCGAGGAGGGACTGGTGGTGGGTCCATCCTCTTCTTCTGGTATACGATCATATATTGGTTCTACATTAGCATCAATGTCAGAGTACAGTGGTATTTCATTGCTTTGTTGCATCATTTCATATGCTGAATTAGGTTCAGTTTTGATAGGAATGTCAATATTACCTGTGTTAGCTTTACCTTTTACAGTAATAACAATTTCATATCTGATTTAAAAGCCTTTACCTTTTTTTCTGAGTATTGCAACCAATATTATTAATAAAATAATACCAGTACAGGTTGAGAGTGCAAAGAGACCACTGAGAACTGCGCTAGTATATGACTGATCTGTTTCAGTGCCTGCATGATGTGTGTAATAGTACCTTATGATCAAAATGAATCTAAAATTACTTCTATTATCTGTATTGGCAGGAGTCCATAATGTGAAGTTGGTATTGGTTATGTTTGGTAGCACAGAGTTGTGATTGTTATTTGATGACAATTTATTGCATTTTGTGTCCAAACTTTCAATACTTGAAAAAACTATCATTAATTCATTATGACATGAATTCAATTCATTATTACTAACTAACCTGTGTCTGATGGTTCAATCCAGTCCACTGTATATTGTATAACTACTGCTGGTGTCAGTATTATTAGTCCATTCTCAATATCATGTGCGTATACAGTGTATGTTCCATTATCAGTAAATGAATAACATGTTCCATTAGTTTGTGTTGATTGTGGTATCAGTGTTGTTGTTACTGATGCTATCATTACTTGACATTCATTAAACCTTTCAGTGACACAAACAAAACAGACAATACCCTCACTCCTCTCTATCACTATATCCTTTACATTATATTTGCCTACTGAATAGATTGATTAAAATTATTGTAGTACTGCTGTCTTACTTATTTCTGTTACATCAGAAGTGCTAGTTTCATATGTACCAATTGCTGATACTGTTAGATAATATAATGAGTTTTTGTTCAGTTTTATATTCCAGTGTATAGTATAATACTCATCAATATATTGGAGACTGTTAATATCCAGTGGATCTGAAGTGTTAAAACCATTAGCTCCAGCTAGAAGCAACTGTATTTCATTATTAAAGCACTGGTGTATCTGAAAGAATTAGTATTATTTTCTACAGAAAATACTCTTACTTGAAATTTTATTATTAAAGTTTCATTGTTAAGATATAATGCAGATACATTCTCAGGTTTTGGTGTCAATGCTATAAAATAATTACAATGCTTAGTAATAATAATTTCAATAACTTCGGTACTTTACCAGTTGATATAGTTCTAATGTTGTCATTGCACCCAGTTTCGGTTTTTAGTAGTGTCAGTTTGAAGGTATATACATTACAAGGATTTATATCTCCAGTATAGTTATATACATTATAATATCCAGTAACATTAATGGTACTATTAACTGTTTGGTAAGAATCAGTGATACTCAATGTAAGGGTAGCATTTTCTTTTGGATAAACTTCCCATGACACAATAATAGTGTCAAATGTAATAGATGCAATTTTGAATTCATTTAAAACTAATTGTCCTAAGCAAAAATGTTGATACTTGTTATTAATTATAAATGATACCTTGATCAAGCCTGTAGACAATATTAGTCCATCCTGATACTACATCATAGCAGTCTATGTCAGTAACTTTGTTAGTATAAGATAATGGATGACGAAAATTAGCGTAATTTTTGTAGGGGAAAAAATAGTTAAAAATACCAACACTAGCTCTGTATGTTGTCCATCGTATGAGTCCACACTTGTATATAAACACAGCATATGAGGCATTGCTTTGAAAAGCTAATGCAACCTGGAAATAATTAGACTACAAACAAAATTATCTATTAATGATAATGATATAAACCTGATTAGAGTTGCAGTTTTGATTACTATATGGACATACATCATACCAATAGGCCCACAGTATCCATTCAACAGATACTCTACTACCAGTTGAATTAGATAAGTAATCATTGACTTGATTACACAGTGAAGGATCTGTTGTTGGAGTTATAACAGCATAACGTACTTCACCTTTTCTACTTAAGTCTGTGTAATCTCTGTATGGAGCAATGTATCCGGATTCGCTATAATAAGTATTCCCATAGTAAATGTATCCACAAGGACTAATCTGTTAAACAAAAATGTTTATAATTTTTATTTTCTGCTCGTGCAGTTTTTACCTTTACACATTTGATACATAATGATGATCCAAAGCTAAGTGGAGAAGGTAGTGAAACTTCAGAATAATAGTTATTTATATTCAGTATTGAATAATCATTAGGATAAAGGAAAGGAAGGTAGTTGCCCTCAGAGGTAACAAGGAGACCATTGAAGTAGATAAGTATCACAAACACTATCATCATCATCATCTTTCACTCCTGAATTATTCAACTTGTACCGTAATTGCTGTGATTTATATTCTTCATTGTTTTCATAACAACTACAAATTTTAGAAAAAATAATTTCTTGCCATTAAAATTGTTGTAAGTTTTTTCGAGTAATAAATGTTCTGTACATGGTTATATTTTTGTTACATTTTTATTTTGATAATTAATTATGGCTCCTTATGTACTTCTGTATGCATGTATTGTTCAATATTTCAGGACTTCAAAAGTGTTTTTATTAGATAATGTCATATGAATAGTGATGTTTGTTATATTCTAACTAAATGCTGTCACTATTCATAACAGATGTGTTTGCTGCTTAAATACATAGTGACCTAATAAACAGTCATATAAATTTGATTGCAATGCAGTTATAGTAGTAGTTGCTATTATAATTTTGTGTACGTTTAAGTACTATTTTATTTCAATAGGAATTTATACAGTGAGGGTTCATTGTGTCCTGATATTCGTTGCTCATTAGCTGATGCATTGGTAGCTGCAGTATCTACTGATCTTAAAGGAAACGTATTATTCCTGACAAGAAAGAGAAAAAAGAAAGGTACACATTCATGTAAAGCTTACCAAGCTTGCCAAGAAAAGGCTCAAAAGTGGCTTTACAGAATACTACTAGAAGAATATTAAGGGACCAGTAAAAGCTTCGCCCAATAGAATATGCATGCTTTGCTAATGGGTATAACATCCCCTAATGAATATAACCTGTAGAGAAAACATTAAATCCTTTTTGATCAACAATAATAATCAACAATAATTTAATTATACATTAATTATATTGCTTGTTATACAGAAGAGGATCCAATATCAGTCCGTGATGCATTGATCCAGTTCATTGTTGATGCTGATCATTCAGTGAGACTACATCTTGCCAGAAACATTACTGTTCTCTTTCCTGAGACTAACACTCCATTGGAGCATATGAACAACTTTAATGATTTGAAAGACATGCTTCGTAAATCAACCTTAGTCAAAGTACATTATACACATTCTTCTTTCTCTTTCTTATTATCTTTTTGTTTTAACCTCTCTCTCTCTCTCTCTTTGACATTACCCTCTCTTTCTTTTTTCTCTAGTCTAATCTTGATGAGCACAGTTCAGAGGATGAGTCAGTCAATCGTGTTGCTAGTATGTTGTGTACACTCCAGTCTGTGGCTTGTTCTGCCAGATCATGTGAGTATCATGTGATATCTCTCCTTGTCACTAGCACTGGGCAGGGACACATGAACAGTGACATTGTTAAAAAGGTACAAATATTAATGTAGTAGTACAGTATGGAGCATGTTTTAATAGATTAATTATAGAATATGTATGTATAATTAAAGAATTTCTAAAACTGTCATTTTTTATTCATCAGGTTATAAGAAGGATTTCAGAGTATTTAGGGTATGCTAATGAGATATGTCTGCTTGAGGAGATGTTAAGTTATCTTGTGTCTCAATGGATGAATGAAGGGACCATTGATGGGTTTCCATACACTTTACTATCACTTGATAACATTAATGAGTTCTATAGGTCAGTAATCAGTATCCTTACTCTATGCTTACATTATATTACTTAATCCTTTTTGCTTTTTCCATTTAGGAAGTATTATAGATCAGTGGTTCCTCATATACTAGCTACTGATCGTGATTCATTACAATCAATATCTGATGCCACTTTATTATCAAAAGAGGACCTCATCAAGGAGTCTCTACCAGTCACAATGGCTTCCATATTGAAAGCTATGGCTCACAGCGACGGAGATGAGGACTCAAAGAGACAAGCAAAGGACACAAACGAGTACATACTCTCAGTCATTTCAAAAGAGACACTGAACACTTCACTCAAACACTCACTCCCACTACTGGTTGTAGAGCTACTCACTCGACTGTATGTACCGGCAAACTCTGATTCAGCATTAGCCCAATATTCAAAGTAAGTAATAATAATATTTATATTTATTATTATTATTATATTACTTTAGTGTCTGTGATCCAGAGCCTATTCCTCCTCATCATTCATTGTCAGCTATCAGTACTACACTCCAGTACCTTCCGTCTTGTTTCTCCTCCTCCACTGATAGTTTCATTTCAGTCCTAGCCAAACAAAAGGTATGTATGTATCCATAGAATTTATTAATTAAATAAGTAGGTGGATAAGTAATAGAATCAGTCAATATGTACATGTACATGTACATGTATATATTATGTTAAGTTTTTTTTACCTTCTAATAGGAAGCATTACAGACTATAGCCCTCCATCTTAATCTCAGAATATTCTCCACTCATCGTGTCTTTGAGAGGAAGCGTCTCCTCATTTCTTACTCGTACTTCTCTAGTCTCGTCTCTCGGGAGCTTACTAGCGGACTCCACGGCTCATTGCCTTATATGGTCATGGATATAATCTATAGCGTGGGGCGTGTCATGCATCACCATGGCAACGATGAGTCCATATCCTTGATCTGTTGTGATACATTGACTAACGTTACCAAAGCAGCAATAGAGAAGTGTCCAGAGGTATAGATTAATGTCATTAGCAATTCTTTATTCATTGTGTGGCTGAGATAAAGTGTCCTTAATAAAGAAGAATGGGTTTTATGCTATTTTTAAAATTACAATGAGCAGACATATTGATAATCATTTTAAAAAATATTGCTATTATTATTATTATTATTATTATTATTATTATTATTATTATTATTATTATTATTATTATTATTATTATTATTATTATTATTATAAGAATTATTAATAATACAATTTAGGATAATGTTATTATTATTATTACTACTACACTAACTTTAGGTGATTGGTCGTCATTGTCACATGATCATTAATACTTTATTACCATTAACTCAATTACCTGAACCAAAGAATAAACCAGTAAGGACTTATTAATGATATATTTGTCACTAGTATTTAATTATTGTGTTTATACAGGCCATAGCACTCCTTGATTATATCATCGAGAATGGTCAGATCCGGGCCCTGCAAGATCACTTAATATTACTGGACCCCTTGCCTGGAGAGGGTCCTGTAAAGGAAGCCAGTTCCAGACTTGACATAATCAAAGCCTCAGTCAACGAGCAAAGCCTTTCAAGGGTAAGATAGTAACTGATATACTTAAAATTTGTAGTAATTACGCTATTAAGAGTAATGCAATAAGAGTATAGTCTCACTTACACTAATTGAGGGCATTTTTGAAGTGTTTACGTCAGTACAAAGCTACACACACTCACTAATAAGGCTTGACTGTAATGTTTGTTCATTGAGATAAGCTACTGTAGTCTTATTATTGAAATGAATGATGATTTAAGTATATACTAAGCAACTGTATGTCAAAGTCCTTTATAGGTACAGTCTGTATATTATAATCCCCTTGAGGTTCATACTAACCACAGTGTGAGACATTAACCACACACACACACACACACACACACACACACACACACACACACACACACACACACATGGGTACTGTTGTAGTAGGGCTAGATTTTCTTTTTTTATTAGCAATTATATAATATATTTGTGGTTGGAATTAGTAAATGTGACCATAATTGACAAAAGGTACCTTATGGCGGATTTTTAAATTCAACATTATAATGAAAAATATCAACCTGTGAGTGCTCTGTTAGTCAACCATTGTCTTTAAAAGTTACGTAGTAACTTTTTGCATCCTCTGGAGTAATTTTATGATAAATTGAGCTCAGAAAGTTGCATTTTTAAGGCTATAAAGACCAAATTTCCTATCTGACATAAGGTGCATTTTGTCAATTATGGTCACAAATAATGCACTTCTTAATATTGTATTTTTTAATAATTATCTTATCTATTATTGATGTAGGAGATTAATAGGTTTTGTATGGTTCACTCTGGTAATAGCATTGCTAGTGATTCAGTTCAAGGACTCAAGTCTCTACTTCATTGTCTGAAGTCATTTCACTCGGAGTTACAAATAAATAGTAAGAGAAGTATATGGGAGATGATACTGTATGCAATTTTGTGTTTAATTTGTATTACTACAAATTTACGATTGCGATATCATGTTTGGTAATTTGTTATGAGTAAGGGAAATGCTAATATTTATATTTATGATTATGACATTATTTTTGTTAAATGCGTGTGCATGTAAAGGGAATTATATTTACATGTACTGAAACTACTGATGCATTTACTTTGTAAGCATGCTGAAATATTTAAAATTGACCGTTTTATTAATGTTTATGCTTATCTTATTATCACTAGATCCGGATACGTCTAATCTGATATTGGAGCTCATTCACACGTTACTTAATACTGCCAGACACTCACCTGATTCCTCTTGTCATGTGTCACAGTGTCTGGGGGAGATTGGATGCATTGAATTACAGTCAATATCGGCTCACGTTGTTACTAATGGAGGGACCAGGGGAAGAGGTCCAGGTGGAGGGTATGTCTTTAAACAAGAGAGAGATAAGATTGTTGCGAGTGTTCTTGAGTCACTCTCAGTATTACTCTCTGATGTAAGGTCAGTATAGAAACTGATTTAAAGAATAAATAGTTTAAAGAAAGAGCTAGAGAATAAGCTAAAATTAAAATACTTTAATATCACAGATACATAATTACGGTGGTATTATTTGGTATTATTTTATTTTCTAGTATCAGTGTAGTGAAGGCTAGTAGTCATTGCTTAAGAGATGTCCTATCTACTAACAGTGGGGCTAGTGTGCTTCAAAAACTAGAGCATTCAGTATCACAGGATGATAATCAATGGTTTAATGTATTGGAGCCTTTCAAACAAAATAAGAAAAAAGTATAATTATATGCTAATGGCAGTAATGGGTTATAGCAAAAGGATGTGGTAATTGTGATTTATGCATGGGCAAATATCATTACAAATGTTATGCAGGATATTTTGCCAAAAATGACTAGGAGAGAATTCTCAATTTTTATAATTTTTTCTGATACACATACATGTTCTTATGTTGTAAATCAAGTTTGAGCTGATTTCGATCACAATTAATTTTTTTACAAATTTTTAAAGTTACTCAAAAATTGAGCCAAAGTCCTTGTACTATAGTACAGGGATTTTGGCCAAAATTCGCCAAAAATGACTAGGAGAGAATTCTCTATTTTAATAATTTTTTCTGATGCATATACATGTTCTTATGTTGTGTAGCAAGTTTGAGCTGATTCCGATCACAATTAAATTTTTTTACAAATTTTTAAAGTTACTCAAAAATCGAGCTAAAGTCCCTGTACTATAGTACAGGGATTTTGGCCAAAATTCACCAAAAATGACTAGAAGAGAATTCTCCATTTTTATAATTTTTTCTGATACATATACATGTTCTTATATTGTAAATCAAGTTTGAGCTGATTCCGATCACAATTAAATTTTTTACAAATTTTTAAAGCTACTCAAAAATTGAGCTAAAGTCCCTGTACTACAGTACCGTGTCTTTGGCCAAATTTTGATAAAAATGACTAGAAGAAAATTCTCCACTTTTAAAATTTTTTTGATGCGTATGCATGTTGTGTAGAAAGTTTAAGTTAATTCTGATCAAAATTGGATTTTTTACGACTTTTTAATGTTGCTCCAAAATACTTGACTTCAGCTAACTATAATTGTTATGGTACATGTATTTAGTATTAAAACAATATGAAGTATCGAATCTACCTTAGAGTGACTTTTAATTGCGGGTACTAAATTTTGCGATTTTAGCACAAGGTAGATTTTGCTAGTATTAAAAATTGCGATTAAGTAATTATTACTAATAGTTATATGGCATCATGATGTCATTATTAATAATTGCGCGTATTAATAATTGCGATTTTTAACCCAAACGCAAAATTCACAATTAATAGTACCCGCATTTAAAAGTAACCTTAAGGTAATAGCATGTAATACTACTACTACTATTAATAATAATAACAACCTATTTTATTTTAATCTAGTTGACTGAAAATTTACTCACTTCTGTCTCTCGCCCCCTACATAACTTCTCTTTGCTATGGAAACCATCACAAGACCATTCTTCATGGCTAAGAGAACTGGTTTGCAGTCTGATAACGAGTGGGGGCGTGTCTGACGAGGTCCTCTCTCTTGTCAAACCAGTCTGTCAGGTTAAACTTAGTTTCTGTGAGAGTGTTTTTCCACTGGTGGTACACGATATACTGTCATCAAACTCCGGGGAGAAGAGTATAATGGAGTCATTATCAAAACAAGTACACAACAAGGAACACTATTTATTGGTTCTTAATAAAAGCATTAAATATGCATAATTATATCTAAATTGTATTTGTAAAATACATTATGATTACGCTTAATTTGTGTTTTTTTGTTGTAGGTTGGTGATTTCTTGACAGAGTCAGTCAGTATGGATCCTATACCTCATCAGTCAATCAATTCAGTTATCAACATTGTTATGAGTCTTAGGAAAATGCCAAGACTGAGGAAAGGAGGGTATGTGCTCTATCCCTTGTTCTTTGAATGCTTATAGCTCAGAATTCTGTGCCTGTTAAATCTCATACTTATTATTTTAGAACTGCCTGGGAAAATAATTTCTGGCTAGACCTCAACTTTCTAGACATTGCCAATGCAGCATTCAAATGCTGCTCTTACTTCACATCACTCCTCTACATTGAGATATGGTGCAACCATCAGGGGTACGTTATTCATCACTAATGATCACGTGACTCTACTTATGTCACACACACACTGTGTATGTAGTTTTGATGCATCTAATCTGACGGCTTACCCGGAAGTACAGGGTCTATTGCTACAAGTGTATTCACAGATTGGGGAGCATGACGGGTCCTATGGGGCTCACCTTCTCTTCTCACCTAAAGAGGAATTCACTCGGAAACTGGACGAGCACGAGGGGAGGTGGGAGGAGCTTTTGAGTTAGTCCTACTGGAGAGTTTGTGTCATTTTTATTATCTTTTTATTTAGCTTACAGTAACTGGGAGGGAATGCTTACTGGAAAGTGTAATGAGCTACTGGATAAAGTAACCTAGGGGAAGGGAAAATATTGCTCTGTTTTGATTGTTATTTTGTGGCTTAGGGTTGTAAGAGTCTTGCCTATTATCACATGTTGGATGTGTATAAGAAAGAAACCAGTGACAGTACCTCACAACAAGTAATGATGATGTACATGTAATAGGAATAGTAATAGTGTACTGGTAGAAAGTACATCTAGTTTAGATGTTTATGCATTTGAAGAATTATTATTAATTATATTTATATTTTTATTTTATTATAATTAGTGCTATACAGAGAATATATGGAGACTCACACAATGGAGGGACACTGATGACATGAAGTAATTCATATATTTTACATTTTCTCTTATTTTTCTTCTCTCTCTTCACACTCTTTTACTCCCCTAGTTTATTACATGTAGGCACCACTGATAATTACCATCCGTGTCTACATAACTTGTTATTAACATTAAAACATAATAAGAAGGCTCAATTTGATGAGTTTATCACTAAAGGAAGGTCAGCCCTGTGTGCATGTTGATGAACCCATTCAAGTGGTTCTACATGTTTACAAGTGTTGTCTGTCTCTCTCCTTTAATCTTTTGATCAGAATACACTATAGACTACTAACAGTGCAATCTATTTTCTCATGGGCTATAGATAACAGTCCGTGCTTTTTTCTAAAAATAATTAGCTCCAAAAATATCCCAAATTTAAAATTACTTTTTTTTGTTCTTTTCTGCATGCATGTACATTATCTTCCCTCACTCCTCAGGGCTTCCATTATCAATGAGATGGTATCCACTAGTCTGGAGAGTGTCTGTAATATCAATCCTCATCTCACTCGTCTCCAGACACTTAACGAACTCGAGTCAACTTTTCAACTTGTTCTTGAACCTGACCTGTATGTGAGAGAGAGAGAGAGAGAGGAGAATGTATATTACATGTGTACATGTATCTCTTAATATGTCACATGCTGTAATTATTTCTCCTCTCTCTCTCTTTCTTCAACTTCTCTTTCTTCAGTTCTCCTAGTGTGTTACTGAGTAATTGGAAGGGAAAGCTATCAAACATGAGCACTGATTTTGAGTTGGTTGAGTTGGTCCTCTCAGTTCGATTCCATGCCTTACTCTCTGTCCTGCCTTACTATAAGAGGAGTGGTGGAGAGAATGAGTCATTGATACAGTCGGGACTTCTTAATGTGTTGTCAACTAAAGCTAGTCTAGCTATTGAAGCACAGCAGTACCAGGTAATAACAATCATACTATATTACTATTATCAATTATTCCTCTGAAGTTATTTCTAATGTGGGTTTTTTAGTTGTCACGGATTTTGTGACAATGGAGCTAATAAGTTTTTTAGTTGTTACAGATTTTGTGACAATGGAATGAATTATTTTTCTTACTATTATTATTTCTTTTAGTATCATGATTGCTATTATTACTATTATTATTATTATTATTTAATTATGTTATCTTCCATCCTTTAGTATTACAGTACATGCCTATATTAGTGTCTTGTGGATTATTCCAGCTGCTATTAATCTAATTTGTCTATAGTAATGAGCCCTCCTTTGATCCCATAGTATATCTTTATCATTATTAATGGTTCCACTCATTGGCAGGTGTGTATGTTTCCAGTGGGAATTAACTAATAATTGGTTGTTGTTATGGATACTGGTGGGCTTGTCTCATGTTCAATTCTTCATTAGTAGTATGTTTTGAATTTTTATCATAATTTCTCCTCATGCAGCCAAACAATTTATCATCTGGCTGTGATTTTGGCTATAGCTCTCCTAGTTGTTATTATTTACTTTGATTTCATAGAAGTTTGGCTATGTAGGATACTGTTACTATTATCATGTACTACTAAACACGAGAGCCTTTGATGTACTGTGTACATATAATACTACATATACTATTCTGTCATACTAATGTCTATGTAATGTGTAATGAATGAGTTGTTGTGCATATCATTCATTCACTCATTTGTTTAGTATACATTGTACATAGTGTACACGGGCAATACTCTCACTCCTCATTGCTTTGCAAATGAGCTATTAATGATCGAAATTCTTCGAATATTTGGCTTGTTTTTTGGATTTTTAAATTTTGTTATTTTGTCATTCCTTTCTATAGTAATAAGGAATGAGCATGTGCTGTGTATGTGTGTGGCATTACATGAGGAATTGATTGGAATTTATGTAGATCACACTACATACATGTATTGTGTGTGTATGTGTGTGTGTACTATAGTATCAGGTCTATGAGAGTACATGTTATTCA